TTTCTTCTTTACATTTAGTTATTAGAAATGCCAAACAAACCAACTTTCTCTCACCTTTCAATAACTTTCCTGTTAAATTTACAGAAATTCTCTTTCAGATTGCAGGCAATCATTCTTCATATTCTAGCAAATTGATCTCATATTTTTAACACTGTAATTCAATAGCAATGATAACCCCAAATCTGTTAGGTGCAAAGGCTGAAATTACATCCATAATCACATTTGTATTTTGAAAATATACTAATCATTCTCTTATCAAAGAACTCTTCGTACTTTAAAAAATTATCTTGGTTTTAAAAAGGAAAATAATCACTGGCACCTCTCCAGAAAGCTCTCCTTAGGACCCATGTTATGGGACCTCACCGTATGGCTATAAACACATTTTTTAGGACTTTAGTAATTAAATGAAGACAATCACCATGGAGCAGTGGGAAAAGCTACTATATAAAGAAGAATTTCTAGAAATTTACAGGAAAGTTATTCAAAGGAAAAAATGATGTTACTTTTTGAGATTTTTAAATAAATAATTGTAAAGAGAAAACAAGATAACAGCAAAGGTCTAGGAAGAGAAAAACAGAACCCTAGTCCTGGCTCAGGCACTTAACAAACATGATCTAGTTCCTAAATCTCTTTAGACTTCTAATTACCTTCTCAGTAGACTAGGGTAACAACTATTTTTCCAACTTCAAAGTAAATTAATGCATAGGAAGGCAGTCTTTACTTCCGAAGTTCTCTATAAATATAAGGAGGAGTTTGTTGGTTTTATTAATTTATGCTCTTTAGCAAAGTTTTAATATGGTGCCTTCACATTGCTTTTTCATAAATTCATAGGACTTCTGATTGCCTTTTTCTAACATTGAGCTATCATTTACATTAACTAGAGTCTACTTTCAGTGTAGCTATTCTAACCAGAATTCATGTTTCTACCAACAACCTCTTTGCATTTATCTATGACAAAATTACCTAACCAAATCTGATATACAATAACAGCCACTAAATACAATTATATGGACTAATATTTTATTTCATTTTACAAAGAAGCAAAATCTGTAAATAACTCATCAACATAAAGTGACTATTAAATATAAAGATATTTATAATTTATCAAATAATTTCTAAATTCCCTCTTAAGTCAAGAAAGGACCACCTCCATAAAGCAAGCTCTATCAAGCAAGAATGCCTTGGGGAAATAAGGCAGTGAGCCTCCATTAAAATGTACAAATTAGGGCTTCCCTGGTGGCGCAGTGGTTGAGAGTCCGCCTGCCGATGCAGGGAACACGGGTTCGTGCCCCGGTCCGGGAAGATCCCACATGCTGCGGAGCGGCTGGGCCCGTGAGCCATGGCCGCTGAGCCAAAAAAAAAAAAAAAAGTACAAATTAATCCACAGGCCAAAGTGCATTGATTGGCCTCTAAAGCAGGCAACCCAGGGAAAAAGCTCTATACTTGCTTTTACTTAAAAAAAAATTATTTTATTCAACACTTACACAGTGCTTACAGTGTGAAAGATCCTGTTCTAAGTGCTGAATAAATATTTAAATCATATAATCCACATAACAATTGTTGAGTTAGGTAACTATATTTATCCCTATTTTACAGATGAGGATTTCAAGGCATAGAGGTATAGGTAATTCACAAGGTCACAGAGCTAGTAAGTGGTGGAGCTAGGATTAAAATCTAGGCAGTCTGGCTCCAGAATCCAGGCACTTAGGCACTATGCTAAACTTCCTTCCATAGGTATACTTAGTAATGTGCATTTCATATTCTATTAAACAAACTTGGAACTTCTATGGGATTAAAGATAAAAGTAAAGGGAATTTGTAAACATCATATCCTTTTTATAATAAAGAATGAATTAAAAGATATATCTATCAGATGTGTAGTGTTTCCAGAGTTAATCTTTTAGTTAACCTTCTCATTGGATCACTAGCAGAAGTCAGGGAAAAATGTTTACACCAATGTAAATAAAGTAATATTTCTTTTAGGATGCTTCAGGAAACCAGGAATTAAAAATCAAAATAAACCAGGATTGTAAACACAGGAAAAACAGGCTTCACTTAATTCTACAGAAAACGCTCTGCAGTCAGTACTGACCCAAATGATCAATATGCACAAACAGGCAACAGAGATAAAGCTGGAATTCTTTAGCTCTCTATTGGCAGAGATGCTGTCAAAGCCTCCATTTCATAATCCAGAATTTCGGAGACCAAAGTCAGTGTCTTTAGCTGAAGCTAGAACCTCAGTCCTGCAGCTGGAATGTCTAATACTAGGGACCCAACAGCTTGAGAAAAAACAAAACAAAACAAAAAAACACAACTGCTTCTAATACCAGGGAGAGCAGAGCAGAGCCCCTACTGGTAGAAACATTAAAGTGCTTCTGAAGTGCATGCTTCAATTTTTGAAATCTCTGGCTGCAGAGTTTCAATGGGAGCATAAAGTTTCCACTTTTCTTTCTAGGGTTTGGGGGAAGATGTTATTTTAGATGCTGAAATATGAAACACATTTGTCCCTAATACTTGTGTTACAGTGAATCCACTATGAATGTGACCACAAAATTTTAGAACTAAGAAGGATCATCTATGTATTCTAGTTCAACACCCTTACATTACAGATGAAATGGTGGCCCAGCGAGTATAAGTGACTAGAAAAGCAATACACAGCTGGTCTCCTAATTCTAAGGCTAATGGTTTCTTCTACTCTACTGCCTGCTTTCGCTGAAAGTGCAAACTGACCTAGGAACCCAACCATTATTTTTACACTGAAGCTATGAAGAAATGCTTTTAAATACTCTAACTTAATAATAAACATTTGGAATACATATTGTTGATAAACTAGGGAAGAACCATAATTCTCACTCTCCACTTTTTAGACAGTTAATCCTATACCTAAAGAATCTCTGAAAACATGTTTAAAATTATTTGGTATTAAATATCCAAGTCTCCAGTATTCCTTTTTAGTCAGTTCACCCAAACTTCTCTCTATTTGCTGGAGTAGATGTTCTTACATCTTTCTGTTCCCTATGATAAAGCAGTCCCTTGGTAGCTGCACTATCCTTCTGCTGCTATCATCTAGTGAACCTCAAAATGGGGTAAAAAAATGTTAAATGGCAACCTCCAGCTCAAGTAAGATTCACTTGCAAATGAGGAAACCCCCAAATTTAACCATCCCCTCCCTACTTCATTAAGAATATCATCTTAGGTCATTTCCTTATATTCCTTAGAATCAATGGATTTATTCTCTTGTGAAAGGAAAAGGAGTGGTTGAATGAGGGTACCGGGGACCTAAAGTAGAAAGTGGCAATGAGAACTAGGGGTGGGAGAGGAAGAGCATAGGAAAGAGAGAGAGAAGGCACTGAAGATAAATGTATCTATTATGGATAAAAATCATAAAAATATCAAATGAGAACTTTGTGATAAAAGTCATCAACATTAAGATAGCCAAAATATAAGAAATAATTTTTAATACCACTGAAATTAATTGTTCTAATAAAAACCTCAAAATTATACAATGAGATGATAGAAGCTTCTATGAAAGAAAAACAGAGAATGTTTAAAGTGTAAACCAAGCAAGATTATAAGACCAGAAGTTAATGGGTTATTAACCTAGTCACAGTTGTAAGAATAAAAACTCAACGAGAAAGGCATAAAATGATCAGTTAACAGTATTTATGGAGGGCCCTAGGTACGCTAAGGACTACTGCGGGGGTGGGGGCTGAATATGAAGGCAGAAAAGGATACAAACAAAATAGAAGGCAAAATAAATGAAAATTCCTGCCCTCCAAGAGCTTACAATCTAATTGGTGATACGATATGCATGCATGAAAAAGCCTTACAACTAAGTTATAAATAATTGCAAATAAATATAATCCAAACAAATTACAAAAGCAATGAGAAAGAAATGGCAAGATTTATGAAAAATGGATGAGACTGTAGAAAAATGGATGAGTACAATTTTTTCACTGACACCAAAAAGTGTTTGAGAATTTCTCATTAACATCCGTATATAACTCCTAGCATTTACTAATCTCTTTCTAATCCAATAACCATTCTTCCCAAACTAGAATGTACTAACAAAATAATGCCTAGGTGGAAGTTAGAGTCTCTAGTTTTCCTTTTTCTATTATCTATGTAGTATTCTAGGACAACTATATTTTCTTCTGAGTTTTACAGAAACAATTCTTGTCAGGAACCTAAATAACATTTAATTACTTTAAAAAGAGTTAAGGAAGAAATCAAGATAGGTTACATTAAAAAATATTTCATGCAATGTATTATAAAATTGAATACTTCACACATTAAGTTCATAATCAATTTTTATAGAAAAGAGAAAAAGCTCCATAAATGCTACTAAATGATATAAGCAGGCAGAAAACAGGCCTAAGAACTTGCAATAAAGCAACATACTCTGATATGCATGCGTGGGTAGGGGTGCATGCAAACAAGTAGATTCTGAACTTTCACTAAATTAAAAGTTCAGAAGGAACACAGTTAACAAGGAAAAAATGTTGAATCTGTGTATTAAACACAAAACAGACAAATCTTCAAAAACTGATTGTTTAGTATAAATTTTAAGCCTCTCAGAACAAATTTCAAAAACAGCCTTCCTATGCTGAACCATTAGTGAAATAATCCTGTCTTCAATGTGGATGAGACCATTCCCTTTGTGGCTGTCTGGTTAATATCTGTACTTAGAATGATGAAATGCTTTCAGATGAGAAATTGGAAAAGATTTTTTTCTGGGAGTATTTGCCTTAGGTAAAGTCTAGAGCCATTTTAAACAATTTAATTCTAAAATTTCTGAAGAGTCTGAGTTTCAGATTGTAACTATAAACACTAATACATATCACATAATAACTAAAAATGAAAAAAATTAAAATGATTTATTTAAAGGTCTACAAATACCACTATCATAAAATTGTTTTTCAAAATAAAATTGAAAAACTGCACAGAACTTCTCTGTATTAAGACTGTACTGCTATTAAGTGGGGAAAATTCTACACAAATTCAACCAAAAAACTTAGAGGTGGGTTTCACGGTCACAGCATGGAGGCCAGGCCCACGCTCACCTTGGACGTCTTCCTCTCCACCATCACCATCTTCTTCCTCATTGTAAGCCAGCTCAGCCTGCTTGTCTGCCTCATACTCACCTACGTTACCATCATCCCCATTATAATCCGCCAGTTTAGAGCCATGCTGCGGATCAACAGGGGATTCATTCTCATCAAAGAATCGGCCTGTGAAGTAGGTAGAGGATTAATTCAAGAGTGAAGAGAGAAGAAAAGAAGGGACCTATACTGGAGGTAGACCAGAAAGTAGACAAGTGAAAGCTGGCAATTTTCAGGATACTGGTTATAAAAAAAAGATACACTTTCTGAAGGTTATCCAAGATAAAAGGAAATAAGAATGAAGACCAAAAATAATTTTATTTAAGAATTTCTCTTTTGTGTTAATTCCAGTACTTGCTGCTTAAGGTTTGAATGTTTTCTTAAAGAAAAGGGCACAATTTCAGAATTGTTTTCCTAATAACCAACAACTTCTCTGATAGAAGTATTTGTCTAATTTAACACTTTAGGGGAAGAATAAATAATTTTATTACTAGATACAATACATATTTGAAATCTGTAGTCATTTACTGCTTTGTGAAATATCACTTTCCACGAATAATTTTGATAACTTTTCTTATCAGAATAAATGAGTACCGTGTAGGCTAGTTTCTTTTTGGAAAATAAGACAAACTAACATACTGGAGGGCTATTTTAAGTTTCTTCACTAATAGTGATTCACTATAGTTATGGATTTCCAAGGAGGGATGGCAAAGAGAGTAAACTATCAGAATCCCTAGTGGTATGTGTTTTGAAAAACATCCCAAGTAATTCTGATTTATTCTTTCTCATTTCCTGAACAATATTTCTAAAAGTCAATGACAGAGGAAGCTTAAGAAAGTTGACTCACATGAGGCTGTTATATTATATTCATAGCAATTAGCAATCAAGAAGAGCAACAGACATAACACCTACTGTAGAAAGCTATTCAACAATATTCAACAAATGGACATTGAAAATAAAAATGCTAGGCAAACTAAGGTGTGACTCACAACACAAGTTAAACTCTACTTTGACACTGAAGTGACAAAAAAGTAAATTTTAGTAAATCCCTAAAATATGAATAACATTAACTTACTGATGATGTAAGAATTTAAGACTTTTTTAGAAATTATAAACACTTTCTATGATAGGTTTAAAATTTTTCAAATTATATTTTTAAAATTCACATTGCAATGAGACAAACTTCCTCTTCTTGGAAAGAAAAGTTAAGTACAAAGAGAAGGAATTATGGAGGTATTGGTCAATTCTACAGATGGCTCACCACATCATCAGGCCAATATATTTCTAATTGCTGTGTAAAGAGTCATTCAGGAAATATCAAACAGCTTATACAACTCAATATCAAAAACACAAACAACCTGATTAAAAAATGGGCTGAATGAACATTTTTCCAAAGAAGACATACAGATGGCCAACAGGCACATGAAAAGATGCTCAACAACACTAATTACTAGAGAAATGCAAATCAAAACCACAACGAGGTTTTACCTCACACCGATCAGAAAGGCTGTCATCAAAAAGTCTATAAATAATAAATGCTGGAAAGGGTGTGGAGAAAAGGGAATTGTTGTGCCCTGTTGGCGGGAAAAAGTAAATTGGTGCAGCCACTGTGAGAAACAGCATGGAAGTTCCTTAAAAAACTAAAAATAGGGCTTCCCTGGTGGCACAGCGGTTAAGAATCCACGTGCCAATGCAGAGGACACGGGTTTGAGCCCTGGTCCGGGAAGATCCCACATGCCGTGGAGCAACTAAGCCCGTGCGCCACAACTACTGAGCCTGCACTCTAGAGCCCGCGAGCCACAACTACTGAGCCAGCATGCTGCAACTACTGAAGCCCACACGCCTAGAGCCCGTGCTCCACAACAAGAGAAGCCACAATGAGAAGCCTGTGCACCACAATGAAGAGGAGCCCCCGCTCACCGCAACTAAGAGCCCACGCACAGCAACGAAGACCCAAGGCAGCCTAAAATAAAAAAAATAAAACAAAACAAAAAAACCCCCTAAAAATAGGGACTTCCCTGGCAGTCCAGTGGTTAAGATTCTGCACTCCCAATGCAGGGGGCACAGGTTTGATCCCTGGTCGGGGAACTAAGATGCCACATTTGGCACTGTGTGTCCTAAAAAAAAACAACAAAAAAACCCCTACCATATAATCCAGCAATTTCAGTCTTGGGTATATATCTGAAGAAAATGCCCACACTAATTCAAAAAGATACATGTACCCCCCAATGTTCATAGCCAAGATACAAATGCCACTATCATACCACTCAGAATCTACTTACAATAGCCAAGATATGGAGGCAATCTAAGTGTCCATCAATAGATGAATGGATAAAGAAGATGTGGTATATATATATACAATGGAATACTACTTAACCATAAAAAAGAATGAAAATTTTGCCATTTGCAACAACATGGATGCACAGGGAGGGTATTATGCTCAGTGAAATAAGTCAGAAAGAGAAAAATACATACTGTATTTTATCACATATACGTGGAATCTAAAAAATAAAACTAATGAATATAACAAAACAGAAACAGACTTGCAGATACAAAGAACAAACTAGCAACAACAAAGACCCAAAGCAGCCAAAAATAAATTAATTAATTAAAAAAAAAAAAGAACAAACTAGTGGTTACCAGTGGGGAGAGAAAAGGGGGGAGGTGCAAGATAGGGGTAGGGGATTAAGAAGTACAAAGTACTATATATAGAATAATTAAGCTATAAGGATATATTGTCCAACACTGGGAATAGAGCCAACATTTTATAATAACATTAAATGGAGCATAATCTATAAAAATTTTGAATCACCATGTTGTACACCTGAAAATAATGTAATATTGTAAATCAGCTATACCACAATAAAAAAAATAGTCAATCAGGAAAATAGTTAAAGAACAAATCATACTCACATAGGCTTTTTTTGGTGGGGGGGCAGTTTACAACAGGAGACTGAAGTAAATGGGGATAATGAAAAAGAGCATAAAGTCATCTTAAATCTATTCTAGAATAGAGCTGGGTATGTACAATAAATAAATGGAAAAGTTGATAAAACAGAGTTAGAGAAAAGAAATGAATATACAAGAGTTAAGAAGGAAAAAGAGTAACAAGAGGAGAATAGGTAAGCTATTTGTGAGAAAGACCCTGTCTCCTAATGATAATAATACAAAACAAAACATTTTGGTGTCTTTTATTATTATCTGTTTCTCTAATGATAAAAATAAATGATGCCAATGTAAGGAAGAAAAAAGGGAGATTTATAGAAATCTATATTTTCTTTTTTTAATATGCAATATTATGGACAAAATACCTGGAGGAGTTAAATCATCTTTATGCAATGTGAAATTGCTGTTTTAAATATATAAACATTTTGATATGGTAGTTACTAGTGAGTTTCTCAAGGTACACTATTTCCTCCAAGAAAATATTTTCATTTTTTATTAGAATTATGAAATATAGAAGACCAAAAAAATAGTCTAAAAAAGTTATTGCAAAATATAGTTAATTTAATTTTATAAGACATGGTATATTAATCAAAGAAATGGTCGACCTGTACCTATTATAATATTCCAACAGAACAATTTACAAAGTTTCTTCTCTCTTTTTTAAAGGTGTTTGGTGATCTGACTAGCCTGAATTCAGTCATAAAATTTCCATACTACAATTACAGTGACCTACAGAGATAATAAGAAAATCACTAACAAGAATGGATGACCACAATAGTAATTCATACAGTACAATAGACAACAAGAGACAAAAAAACAGAGCCAACTACATAAAATTGCCAGTCAAGTTGGGGATATCAAACTTCACAGTAGACAGTGAATGAATATGGCTATATAAATAAAATGCATGATGCTGATCAATATAACAGACTGCTAAATTATATATTAGGCATCATATTTGCAAAAAATTATACAAGGGAGAAATCAGTGTGGGTTAGAGCTAGAAAGGAAGGTTTCAAAAAAGAGGCAGTCAGGTTTCTATAGTGTAGTGGTTATCATGTTTGCCTCACAAAAAAGAGGCAAATATATTGGACCATGACAGAGAGAAGGAAAGGAGCATTCAAATAAGAACGAAGATGCAGTATTCAGGAGACAGTAAAGAGATTAGTTTGACTGGATTTATATTAGGAAGCAGAAAGATGAAGTCTGAAAGATGAAGTTTGAATCTGGAATAATTATGGAAGACCTTTAAAGTCAGATTTTAAAAGGCTTCCTATATCTACTTCACAAGGTCATTGTACACTGCAAAGAAAGGCTTGTCTTCAGGACTGGTCCTTGGCTTGATTGTGGGATATAACTTCTGAGCCCTTGAGCCATGCTTACCAGTTTGATTGGACAAATTTATCCTAACGAAGTGATTCATGGTGAATATTTTTTGTTTTTGCTAGGTGGAGGCAGGCAGGTCTAGAGTCTGAATAGCTGACCTCAGTCACGTGGGCACTACATGACTACATGAGGATACTACATGAATGACCCCCAATAAAAACCCTGGACACCAAGGATCATATGAGCTTCCCTGGTTGGCAACACTTTACATGTGTTTTGTCACACTTCTTTGCTGGAGACTGGAAGGAGACACCTGGAAGCTTACATCTGCTTTTTCCTAGACCTTGCTCCATGAGCTTTTCCATTTACCAATTTTAATGTCTGTCCTTCTGCTGTACTAAACTGTAACTGTGAGTATTATAACTCCTCTGGGTCCTGTGAACTCTTCTATTGAATCATCAAGCCTCAGGGTGGTCTTGGGGGACTCCCAACACAGCATCTTAATATATCTGTTCTGCAACTTGCTTTTCCCTCCACATTATGCTTTTGAGATTTACCAACGTTGATAAATGTAGCTTTATTCATTTATTTTAACTCCTATGTGATTCCACTGTATGTCTGGTACATACACCTTGATATTATCATACTGATGATTATTTGTTTTCAATTTTCAATGTAATAAACAATAAATATTCTTGTACATTGTACATGCCTCCTTATATATAAGAACATTTGTAGGTAACATATTAGGTGCTAAATTGCATGGTATGTACATCTTCTCACACTTATGATCGATTTTTTGTTTGTTTGTTTGTTTTTGTGTGTTTTTTTTTGCGGTCTGCGGGCCTCTCACTGTT